GGTAACAACTCTTTCAGTAATTTAGTGGGTACAGGATCTAACAGGCATGTTGTTGGTTTAGATGCAGTGATAAGTTTATTTAGCTCTTCCTGTCCTATAGTTGTAAAGCACTGCAGTTTATCTTTTATCAGTTTATATCTATTCTGTGGTATCCACTTTTTTTGACTGAAATTATATTACAGCAACCAAAGACTTCAACGATGGCTTTTTGTCTGATGCTGTTTCACCCAATGCCTAATTGTAGGCTACAAGACCTGACACTTGACACTTTTTTTCTGAAAGCCTTTCAGTCAGAGGCGCAATAACATTTAGTCCAGTGGCTGAAGCCTTTTAGTCTGAGGTACAATGCCTTTTTGTCATATAACTGAGGTCTGAGGATGTCCTAAATTGTGCACAGTGTCACTGTCTTGCGAATCGTGCCAAGAATACACTTGTAACACAATTACTGTATCAGGAGGCAGGATTATGTCAGTGTAATGAGTTTGTGGGCGACAAATGGAGAAGACAGAGATATGAATGAAAAATGTGAAAAAATCCCTATTTTAACTTTTTGCTAGCAGATTTTAGAAGGTTAGAACAGAGAGGCAATAGTTTTGCTTTGTAAAACATAGGCCTATAATAATATTTTAAAACTAGAAAGCATTATGGTTCATTTTTATGCTAAATAAAACATGTTAAATCTTTACTTTAACCATAATTTTTGTGTACATTGAATATAACTGAAACTCGATCAGAAATACTGTAGATTTTAGTGCAAAGCTGTGTATTTGTGTGCTGAGTGCTAGTGTGGTTTTTGATTAAGGCAGCAACTGCTCTGTGTCACTGTGACTCTCTGGCGCAGTAATACACAGCTGTGTCCTCAGTCTGCATATTCTGTCCTTGCAGAGTCACTGTGTTGCTGGAAGACTCTCTGGTAACTTGAAATCTACTTTTCAGTTTATCACTGTAATATGAGTTACCGCTACCACACATCCTTCCAACCCATTCCAGGGCTTTTCCTCCAGGCTGCCGAATGAAGTGAGTGCAGTAGCTGCTGTCAGTCACTGAATATCCAGAGATTTTACAGGACAGAGTCAAAACCTGACCAGGACTTAAGACAAGAGAATCAGTCTGAGTCAGTTCAACACAGTCGACACCTGAGGGGGAAAATATGACCAGAAATGTTAGAGATATGACAACATTATATATAACCATGAGTGTTTTTAATATGAAGTATCTCTATTGAAGCTATAAAGACTTACGAGAAGCAGCTGCCAGCAGCAGCAACAACCAGAGAGATGAATAGATCATGGTTTGAGACGAGTGAGAACAAGCTGCTTCTTTTCATCTTAATACTCAAATAACAAGGAGTAGGAGGAGGAATATTTGCATAATTCATTACATCCAATTACTATCATGATGCTTATGCAATATTTTATGTACAGCAAAATGTGAATGTTGAATTTTTATTAGTTTCTTTATTTTTATTAGTTTGTTTTGTTTTGGTGCAAATTATATTTGTTGATTATTATGCATTTACTTACATTTATTTCAGGCAGGACCACTTTGGCAAGTTACTTGAGTTTATTGAAACACAATTTATCTTTGGCGGTATGGTTCCTTATGGGGGTTCTTTGCTCCAGAATAAATTGAACATACAAGAGCTTTAACATTAACCCCCCGGAACCATCAGCTTGGAAATACATAACAATTACGACCTTAGTAAAGTCTTTAAAAGCGAACGGTGGTAATCGTGTATATGTGCAGTGGAACGTCTATACTGTAGCTTGGTTATGAGGATGAGTGTCTCTCAGCAGTGAGGTCCATGGCAGCTGGGACTTGGAAGCCTTAGTGATCTGAAACAAAAGAAGACGACAACCAGAAGGTGCACAGTAATATGCTTATGCTTATAATGGGGAGGGAGGTAGGGTTGCGAGCAGTTTGAGCATACTTACCGAGCAGTAATGCCACGTATATA